GGAGGGCTGTGCCACCAGGAGACTTGGATGATTCTTTCCAGATCCTGTCATGACACAGAGTGAACAGGACCCCATTGGAGCAGCATGGGAAACTGTSACACAGGAATGCCTGGACTGGGGAAAGAGCCAGGAGAGCCATCAGTGGCAGGGACAGTCATTAGGCCAGGGGAGTGCTCTCCCCTCACAGTAGGAAGGGCAGTTCACATGGGTGAGAGAAGATGGCTGGGTGCATTGGCATGGGAAACAGTGCTTGGGTCACAGGGTCTGGGARAAGACAGAAGGTGGAAGTTGGAAGTCACTTTGTCCAGGGAGGGAAGGAAAAGATAAGCAAGACCTGTTGCTCACCTCTGCTAAGGTAGGGCCAGAGGCCTCGATGGACAGGGAGCTCGTGTGATGTACCTGCCAGAACATCTGAGACATGAAACCTGGCCAGAATGGGGAGGGCACACAGGACCACTTGCACAGCTCTGTTTCAGGTCTGCTGGCAGCAGCAGTGCCAGGCTGGGTGTACAGGGATGGGCAGCAGGATGGCAGCATCCTCCCCCTGGATAACAGTTCAGGAGCCCACACTCACAGGGCGAGGGGTGCAAGGCTGCYCCTCCAGCAGGCTCTCTTGTGCAACAGGGGAAGAGCTGTGACAATGTGGCCAGGGCCACCAGCACTCCTGGGAGCCAGGAAGTGCCCTGAGACAAATGCCTTTGACAGTGTTGATCCATGAAATATCCCCCATCTGCACTCCCAGATTTCTTCAAAGAACTCTCAGGGCTTTTTGATAGATAAAATTCCTTTGCCAAAGCTGCTTTTCCTATTATCTCATATTTCCTATATGGCCATCAATTGTATTCTTTAGAAGAGTCTCTACTAATTTGTGGATTTACACAACTTACATCTATCTAATTTGTTCTGTGCACTTGTGAGACTTAATGGTCTGGAACATGAAAAACATTATATCACATTAGCAGCCTCCTACTCTCCTGATAGCCAGGGCCCTTTCAAGTGGGAGATAGCACAGCCTGGTTAGGAGCTGAGCTGTTTCATCCTGGCATTCCCTTGGTGCTCTCAGGGTGATGTTCCCYGCCCCTGCCCAGTCGCTGGTATCTGCTCTTTTGATGTTTTCTAATCTCTGCTCCAGAGATCTCAGCAGGAGCCTGATCCTCCCTTCTGTTCTGTCTAAAGTGGGGCTCGGGGCAGCCCAAGCTCCTGTACCATAAAGGGATGCAGAGAAATTTTCCAAACACTCCAGCTACACATGGAGCAGGTGCCTCAAAAGGAGCTGAACATTTCTTCTTTCACCTTTTGCAATGTGTGACCCAGCCTTTTTCAAAGATGGTCTCTCTGGGCTTAGGAGCTTTTCCTCTGCCATTTAGCCATCACAGCTAGTTTCTGGTTTGGYTTTTTCCCCCCTAATGCCTCTGTGAAGGAATGCATTTGCTTTGAGCCTCCAGGATGGTATTTCTGAGTACTCTTCATGCCACYCACAAAGATCTTTTCATTCTTTTACTACTTCTTCATTGTTACCTAATTTATCTGGTTTGATATGGAACAGCAGAGTATTTTTTTCAATTTATATTGCTCTTTGGGGTGTGTCTGCTGAGTACAAACGTCCCAAACATCAGTCTGACCTGTAACAACTGCAGAGTGCTCAGGGACAAACCAGGAACTGGGTTTCCTATTGGAAGTTCCCAATTAATTGTCTAACAATTTATGTCTAATTAATTGTAAGCTAAACACTGATGAGGTCCCAAAACACAGTACCAATATCTTGTTCTGAAATTACATTTACTTGAGAATGTAATCTCCCATGACAACTGYTCTCCTGGAGCTCCTGTCATTTTATCCTGCTCTTCAGGATCAGAGTCTTGCTTTAGGAGCCGATAATGCAGCCCTAAGGTGGTACTGCCACCTCTGAAGATTGTGGTTTACTTGACACATTTAGTCTGCTGGTCTGGTTTGACTACAGCAAGAATAAAGAAGCAGCTGATGACTGGGATTACCATGAGCCTGGGGACCCCACTCTGGAGAGGAACTTCGCTGGTTAATCCAGGAAAATGAGGATTAGGAGAAGAAATGTGGTTACAATCTGTAGCTATATTGGGGAAGAACTGATCAGGTTACAGTTTGGGCAAAAACAAGAGGCAGAGTTAAACAGATAAGGAAAATTTGCAGAGTGGCAATTAATGGAAGCTTTTCCCCAGGTAGGGCAAAAYCAGATTGGTTTTAAGGTAGAACATGACAAGCTCCCAGAAAAGATCCCAAAACAGTGAACTGTGAGGGCAGGGACTGGAATTGCTGAGCCAAGGATGAACTTCTATTGCATCTGGGAATCCAACAGCCATGCTTATAGAAAGCATCATCAGCCTTCCCAAGGTATTCCTGTGGTCTCTGGAGACCTTTGTTCCTCAGGGCAATGCCCAGGATCTCCATTCCTCATTTCCTGCCTGCCCAAGTGGCTCCTTCAAGCCCATCATGTGTTGCACRTGTCAGAACATGAGAACACAGCTCCTGCCAAGGTGAGAAAAGAGCAGGGGAGCTTGAGCTGAAATTAAACAACCAGTTTAGGGATGTTCTTTTGTAATTATGTGATTAGCACATTCATCTGTATGAGCAATCTTACACCTGTGTGAGACTGGAGAAAGTTTTAACAACACAAACTGTGTAGCACTCCATTCACTGTAATGTTAAAATCCATGTGAGGCATTTTGGCACTCTGTGAACTCAAGTTACCTGTGTTTTGTTTCTTTTCCTGCAGYTTCACCTGGCTTTGCAGCCAAGTCCACACCGGCCTGGTGACCCACTTCCGTGGGCAAATTGTTGCAGAGTTCGACAAGGAATTCCGGTATCTGTATGCAGAGTCCAGAGCAGTGACCAGCTTCTCTGTGCCAGATCCCAGGACACATCTCTCTTCTTGGAATACCTCAAAAGTTGACAAATGTCTTTTAAAACCCACTCAGGGGAATGATACTGAGACCCTGAGCCCCTCCAGCAGCCTGTCCAATGTAAGTATCATAAGCATAAAAKCGTCTCCCTTTATGAAAAACTCCAGCTGCGGAGCACATCAGGAAAAGCAAGATTCCAGCTCTGACTCTGGCAATAAGAAGGGGAAGGAAGACACATTCCTGAAGCCCACTTGCCTTAAACAGCAAGAAGAACCACCAGACTGGGCGAACAGTCCTCCAAATAAACCCACCCCAGCTTCGTATCCCAAAACAAACCTCATAACAGCAAGGACATTCCTGCAGCCAGAGCTTTCCTCCAATAAACCTGGTTATCAGGGGGACACTAAGGCCAACAGCAGCCACTGCTCCCCGCCGAGAGCAGGACAGCCACTGCAGTCCCTGTCAGAGGGTACTGGGAGCAATGGGACAAGCCTGAAGCAGAGAGGGCCTGCGGCCACCTCTGGGGAGCTGCCAGCTGAAAATGAGCATGTGTTTTATGGGGTGGAAAAGAGACAGAGCCCCGGACACGGCTATTTTGACCTGTTCCCCCCATACAACCACTTCAAACGGGATAAAAAGCCCATAGTGCCTTGCTATGACAAGTTCCCGGAGGAYGTGCTGCTGGAAAAGAACAGCGCTTACGGGGCAGAGAAGAGAATGACTCTGGGGCACAGCAAGCTGGACCTGATCACCAAGTACAACAAGCTAAAATCCAAACACATACACAGTCGGTTCGAACTCTGACCTGGGCCTTGAGCTGGCCTCTGGTCTCATTTTCCAGGGTTTGCTTTTCCCCAACAATCATCATGCCTGGGGCTTGGAATCAAAACATGGGTGGCAAATTATTCTTGGTCCTCTTAAAAGGTGTATAATCTATGTAGATGACTGATTCAGATGAGCTTAGCAACTACAGCTCAAATTTTCAATAATGTGATTGTGGCAGGAGGGAGAAAAGCACATAAACATAATCCACATTCTTTTTACCCATTTGGGAAAGAACCATTTCCCCTCAAACATACAGCAAAGCCATTGCTACAGCTSGAAACTGGCCACTGAGGTCTTCAGGGTGAGCCCAGCTTCCCTCCATGCTGAGCATTCCTCTCCCTGTATCCATGTGGTGAAAATTAAATGGCCAAAGGCAGGGAAATGTGAAAAATAAAGGAATTGTTCTGCTGGGAAAAGCTGTGTTGGGTCCTGGTGGGAGGGTGAGCGCTGAGCATGGCCAAGGCCCCGCTTTGCTGAGCTGTGCCAGGCCAGAACAGGACAGGGACATGTCTGGGCACAGGGTTAGCACTGGCTGACATTGGCACATCAGTGGTGYCAGCAAACAGGCAGGGGCTGCTCCTGGGGCACACCTCAACACCGGTGGCCCCTATACACGAGTGGGGCACGAGTGGCCTGCCAGCACACRGATGACACTCTGCTGTCCTACACAAGTGTCAGCACAGAGGTGGTGTCCAGGCACGGCTGGTGCTGGGACAGGGTCAGTGCCAGCATCTGGGGAGCACCAGGGCATGGGCTGGGGCTGTACACAGATTGGGGGTGGCCCAGGGTCACCAGGGACAGGGATGGGACAGCAATGGGACAGCAATGGGACAGCAATGGGACAGCAATGACACACCTGGCACAGGACAACTATGGAGTGTCTGGTACAGGGACAGCGCTGGGGCCCGGGGCACAGGCAGACTGATGGCATACCTGGCACAGAAACAGGGGCAGTGGTGGAATACCCGGCACAGGAACAGCAATGCCGCACCCGGGCCTGTGGCGGCCCCTCAGGGCTGTGGGAACACAGGGGCGGGCTCAGCACCGCCTGGGATCTGGACCCACGGGCACGGGTCGTGGCTCACAGGCCGTGGCACGGGCCGGGCTGCCGAGCGGTACCTGGGGCGGTGCAGTCGCCACGGGCTGTCCCTCCTGTGCCCGGGCCGGCTCCACTCGGTCCCTCAGCGCTCCCGGCCACACGCCCCTCATGTGTTCGCTCCTCCCAGCCGCTTGGGGGCGCTGTCCCCAACAAGCGCGGCCGCCTCCGCGCTGCTCCGCGTGCRCCCTTACCGGAAGCGGAAGCGGCGGCGCCTCGTGGTTCCGGCGGAGGCGGTCGGAGCCACCGGGGCCCGTTCCTGTTCCCGGCTCCATTCGCGCTCCGCCCCGCTTCCCTGCCCCAGCTCCCTTCCCATTCCCCTTCTCGCTCCCATTCTCGGTCCTATTCCCGGCTCCATTTCCGTTCCGACCTCCTTTCGGGAGCCAGCTACGTTCCCATTCCCGTTCTCGGCCCCATTCTTGATTCAGCCCGGCTCCATTCCCGGCTCCATTCCCGGCCCCGCCCGCGTTCCCGTTCCTGCCATGGCGGTCCGCGCCAGCTTCGAGAACAACAACGAGCTGGGCTGTTTCGCCAAGCTCACCAACGCCTACTGCCTCGTGGCCATCGGCGGCTCCGAGAACTTCTACAGGTGAGAGGGGCCCGGCCCGGCCCTGCCTGGCGCTGCCCGCGGCCCCGCGGAGCCCTGACGGTGCTTTGTCCTTGCAGTGTGTTCGAGGGGGAGCTCTTCGGGACCATCCCGGTGGTTCACGCCTCCATCGCCGGCTGCCGCATCATCGGCAGGATGTGTGTGGGTACGTGGCGCGGGAGGGGCTCCGGGGGGACGGGCGGAGGTCGCGGGGTCGGTCGGAGCCGCACCGGGGGTTGAGCCGTGCCGGGGAGCCCGTGGGGCRGCGCCCCTCGCCCTCGAGGGCTGTTTTAATGCCTCGAGTGTGTGGAGCAGGAAGAATGATCTCAGAGGTCTTCTCCATGATCTCATAGGTCTCTTCCAGCTTGGCAGATTCTGTGAAGGATGTGGATAAACAGAGACTCTCCCGGGAGCGGGGGTGGGGGGAGCGTTGGCTCTCGGGGCCAGGGAAGCTCTGCTGTTCCTCAGTGCCAGCCCGGGGGGCGGGCAGAGCCTGGCCAGGGGGAGGCGTTACCCAGTGTGAAGTTATGGAAAAGCTTTTCACGTGTTTCTGGCTGGTGAGACCCTCTTAGGTCAGTCCAGCTTCTTGTTTTGTTCCTTTAACCACAGTCCTGCCATAGTCACAGGAGCAGCAGCACCTGGGCCTTTTGTGGGGCAAATGGCATTGGCATGGGGAGTTCCTTGTCAAATGACTCACGAGGGCCTCAGGCGTTGTTTAGTCCTGTTGGAAGAGAGAAGGGAGTGAAGACAGTGCCATTCACTCMCACTCTGTGCCTCAGCCTGGCTTTTCCATTCCTGTGTGCTGCTTATTTTAAAATCTCATGGGCTGATTTATGGGCTTGGAAGGAGCACACCCAGCAAGGGCAGCTCAAGCCGTGTGTGAACAGCAGGGAAGTGGAAACATTCTTTTTATTCTATTCCATTTCCTTGTGTCCTTTTAGGGAACAGACACGGGCTGCTGGTCCCGAGCAGCACGACAGACCAAGAGCTGCAGCACATCCGCAACAGCCTCCCGGATTCCGTGCGCATCCAGCGGGTGGAGGAGCGGCTCTCGGCTCTGGGCAACGTCACCACCTGCAATGACTACGTGGCTCTGGTGCACCCAGATCTGGACAGGGTACGGGGCTCTGGGATRCCTGCACATCCAAAGTGGGGCTGGGAAATGCTGCCCAGGGTGTGGCTGGAATTCTGGCTCAGCTGTGGTGTATGAGCTTTGGAGAGGGGAAGGAGAGGCAGGTGGATTTGTATCATGGGACAGGGCAAGGGGCAGTGACTCCCCACTGACAGAAGGCAGGGCTAGATGGGATATTGGGAAGAAATTCTTCCCTGTGAGGGTGGTGAGGTCCTGGCACAGCTGCCCAGTGAAGTGGTGGCTGCTCCATCCCTGGAAGTGTCCAAGTGCTTGGAACAGTCTGGTCTCAAGGAAGGTGTTGGGATGAGTTTTAAGGTCACTGCAACCTGAACCCTTCAGTGATTCTGTGATCATTGGGTGCAGTTTGCTTTGGGTGTGTAAAATTGAGTCAATTAGGGTGTGCACAGGTGTAATAAAGAGCATAGGGAAGAGTGCAGTGAGGGGAAGAGAGCAGGAGTTACAGCAGCTGARCAAGCCAGAGTCTGTCATAGCTGAAAGAAACCATGGATGTGTGGATTACAGGGAAAGAAGAATAGAAAGTTCCTGTATGAGAGTTTTTAAAAAGGGCAGAGTCACTCCTATTTTATGTCTGAGAACTGATACCTCAATAGCATTGAGAGAGATTTGTTATGTGTCTGCAGGTCCTGACAGTGCTTGCTTCCAGCTTGTGCTAAAGGTGGTAAAGAGCTGGGACTTGGTGTTAGAAGTGCAAAAGGAAAAGAAAAATAAGGGGATGGAAGAAGGCTTTTCAGTATAAAATGTTTTAAATAAATGTAAAAAGTAAAGTGAGATGGCCAGAGAGAGAGAAATCAAAATAATGCGCAGTGAAACCTGGAGAGGAAGGAAGTTATTAAGAATTATGATAAGGGTAAGACAATTTTGTCCCAGTGRTTTGGGACCAAAGGGGACTSCTTTGCTGGGAATTGACACAAKTGATGTGCTGCTGACACAGTGGGGWGATTTTGGCATTTCTCAGCAAATTCATGAGGTTGTGTTTGTAGTGACAGAGGTGACTGGGAACATGTAGAGTGTGGAGCTTGGCTTTGTGTGTTGTCATGGCAGGGTTACAATGGGCTGTACAGTGTGGGGTGCTCTCAGCTGAGGGCTCTGTCAGGAATTAAATGTTTGACTTCCCACTCCACAATCCCGTTTAGCTGAAGGCTTTATCCCCTTCCCATTTGCAGGAGACAGAAGAGATCTTGGCAGATGTGCTGAAGGTGGAGGTTTTCAGACAAACAGTAGCAGACCAGGTGCTGGTAGGAAGTTACTGTGTGTTTAGTAACCAAGGAGGAATCGTGCACCCCAAAACTTCCATCGATGACCAGGATGAACTGTCTTCTTTGCTGCAGGTCCCACTCGTGGTAAGGCATTTGTGGGATTGTGTTTGTTCTTCCCATTCCCTCAAGGCCCAGTTCCAATGTTTCTCCAGCTCAGGTGCTCCCAGATACTGTTTCTCTGTGAAGTGGTTCTGAGTGGGAGGCGAGAAGGAGACTTGAACCAAGTCTTCCAAGACAAGTTTCTTGTCTTTCCTGAGTCTGAATAAGCTGCTCTGTGCTTTTGAAATGTTGCTCTGCTGGGATTGTGCACATTGTGCAGATGCAGAATGTGAGGCTGGCTGTGGTTTGGCTGAAGCCAGTGTTTAAAAAGATTAAATAAGAAACTCCTGTGTCTGCTCAGTTGGATGTGTGAAAGCYGTTATCCTTCCTGCTTACGGACTCTCTTTCACTGAATGCCACAGCGTTTTCTCACCAGAGTAAAGGCTGTTCATTCATCATTTTACCTGATACCTTCACAACTTTGCTGGTGGCAGAGTTCATCTTTTCAGCAGCATGAGCTGAGCCCTGCAGCRGAGAGGTGTGTGAGGGCTGTGCTGTGGCAGCTCCTGCTCACGTTTGCTGTGTCCCTGGCAGGCAGGGACAGTGAACCGTGGCAGCGAGGTGATTGCAGCGGGCATGGTGGTCAATGACTGGTGTGCYTTCTGTGGGCTGGACACCACCAGCACCGAGCTGTCTGTCATCGAGAGCATCTTCCGGCTCAACGAGGCTCAGCCGAGCACCATCGCCACCAACATGAGGGATTCCCTGATTGACAGGTAGGGAGCATCCACCTCCGGCCAGAATCATGAAGATTGTATTACAAAGCAGTGGTTTCTCACTTGATTTACGTTTTAATTACCATTTTTTCACTTCCTCTCCCTTTTTGATTATGGCAGAAGTTACTTGTTCGGTTGTGGAATGTTTTGTTGCAATGAGAAACAGGAGATTTCTCTTTTTGTGAGAAATAACATCTGTTTCAGCTGCCAGATTTTCTTTCTTAGCTATTCAATGCTTAGTTATGACATGATTTTTTTTAAACAAATCTTATTTTTAAAGTTGAAATACCAGTGATTTCTCTTGTCATCTCGCCCTTTGATTGCTGTAGTTATTCAAATGTTATTTCAAATGCTTGCTACAACCAATTCTGGAGCCAAGAAGACTCTGGAACTTGTCAGCTGCTGCTGCCTTAAACCTCTTACATTTAAAACTGCTAACTTGAATTTTTCTTAAGCCTTTTTGTTAAAGGCTTTGTCCAAGTCACTTCTTAAATGTGAGACAGGTTTTGTTTTCTGCCTGGAGTGGTAATGATATGGGACCTTCCCCATTCATTAATGTATGCAAATGTTTTTACATAAGCAAATGTTTTTACAGTTAAGCATAAGTGTGGATGAATGTCTTGTGGCACCTGGGCTTTGGGTTATAACTTTGGGGACCACTGATGTGATGCTAAAAGATTTTTCCTGAATCACCTTCATGGCTGAGTTCTCAGCCACAATCTGGGAATTTTTATGGCATAAGAAATTCCTTCAGTGGAGAACCCTTGAAAGAATTTCTTTGCCCCRTTACAGTTTGGGTACAAAGTCTTGATACTCTCAGCATATCAGAGCCATAATTAAATCTGCTCTGAGCTGTTGATCATGACCTGGGCCAGGCTGAGTGTGCATTTTGCCTTTGCCAGCCTGACAGCTCTGTTCCTGTGGCTGGCTGTTRGCAGCTACATCTGCTTCCCTCGTTTCATTGGTCCTTTTCTAGAAAGGGAAATTTCTTCTGGGCCTTTGTAGTTGGACAGTGAGAACTGACTGGTGTTTTGAAATGTCTTCTGCACTCTCTGGTCCTGCTAAACCTTCTTCCTGTTTTGTTTTTCAGCTTGACATGAGCAGTGTTGGTTCCTGCTTCCCAGAAAGCTCCTAAGGAGTGAAGTGTTGAGCTGCACTATGGATCACAGACATCCAGACCTCCTGATGGTGTTTCTGCAGGCCTGACCCAAGGGAGAGGCTACAAAACAAACTTTCTGTCATGTTTTGTAAAAACTGTTATCACAAAAACTGACAAATAACATGTGTAAGATACAAATAAGGAATGCTCTCTATCCCTTTGCTCAGTTCTTCAGCTCTSCTTTCTGGTTTTGTGATTCCAACTGAGCCCTTCAAGTTACCCCACAATATTTACTCCTGTGGCTCTTGGATGTTGATCACTAGAGATTATTTTGCCTTAAGTCTTGCACCAGTGTCCTGCTGCACAGCAGTTTGTTTTGGCACTACATGCACTGCCCTCTCTTTCCACACTGCTGCTTGAGTGGTGTTTCTGCTCTAGGTACACATAAGACCCCTTTGTATGTCCAGTACCAAAAATACAGTAGTTTACTTGCCACAAAATAATTCAAAAGTCATCCCTTGCTCTTTTGCCCTGACTTGTAGCTGTTCCCAGGGGATGGTGATTCTGAAGTAATCAGCTTGGATGAAATTAGTTGGATGAAAATTAGTTTTTCAGTCAAGCCAAGGGCTTTTAACAACAACAGTGTGGGAATCCCTGGAGCAATGTTTGGGTCTGATGTCATCTGTGCTGCTTCCTCCAAGAGAGAGCCCAAAAATCAGATTGTTGCCAGTGGGCTTAATTTGTGCTTCAGTAGTTCACCTGCAATGGGAAACCCTTAGAATTCAGCAAATCCCAATGGAGTTGAATCACCTCATGTGGAGTTACCTTGGAGACAAAGGTTAAGTAACACGGTTCTAAGCAATCTCTTCAAGTCATCAGAGGGTACAGATTTGGGAGCTTCCTCGTGAAGGGCTGTGCCTGCAGGACAGGCAGCTGTAGRTGCTGCTGTTGGGCAGAAGACAGTAATTTCCTGCACAGATGTTGCTCAGTGATACCTCATTTCAGTTGCTTTCCTGCTTGCCCATTCAGGGTGCACTGAAGGCACAGAAGTGCCTCCATTTCCCATCCTGAGGGTAAGAGGAAGCTCTCACTTGTCTCCACACAGCTGCCTTGCTCTCAGCTGGGTTCTCCTGAGGAATGATGACCTGAGGGCTGTGTGGGCACAGCTCTTTTCACCTGTGTGCTTTGGGCTTTGTAGAAAATTAATTAAATTCCCATTTTTGTTTTACTCTCTGGATGTTCAGGGAAGGCTTTGTAAGGCTTGGCTGATAAAAGGTTGCTCCTTAAACTTGAAAATAAAGATTGCCATGATCACCTCTGATCAGATATCAACCCTTTGATACCATGCAGCACCTGTCTTAGCACTGACCCCACCCTGGCTCTATTCTGAGTGAGAAGCTGCCTCTGTTTGGCCACCTCACAGGGCTCAGCTCTTGGCTGAAGCAAATGTGACTCCTGTTCTAACCATGGGTCTTTGGGAACTCTGAACTAGTGAGGTGCACCTGTGTACAAGGAAAAGAAAYTATAATAAAGAATGGATTTAGAACCATGGTTCATGAAAGAAGATAAACGTGTTTCAATGACAAATTGTGTCTCAGAAAACCTGTGCAGTTCTTTAAAGAGTCCACAGGGATATGGATTTGTTCTTTTGTACTGTTAGTTGTATTTTCAAAAGGCATTTGGCAGGTTTTTGTGCCAAAGACATTCAGGGAATGTCCTGGTTTTACTCAGTCTGGTTTTTTTTGGGATGGGACTCAGTCTGTTTTTTTGGGATGGGACCACAAAGAAAAAACCCAGAACAGGCACCTTGGGTGAATGATCCTATGGAATGAAGGAAGCCCTCTTACATGTTTGAGGATGGGGGAAAAAAGTACCTGGTGGCATTTCCCAGGAGTTTGACAGGGAGCTGTGCTGGGAGCCACAACATTCAGCATTACTGTGGTTTAGGAAGTGCAGTGGGTTCACACGGAATTTTGCCCACACCAACTGTCTAGAGAGGAGGAGGACTGGGTAGAGAGGTAAATTCAGTGCAGTTGAGTGTGAAGTGAAGCACATTGTGGTTAAGAATCCAAATTTCACCCCGTGGTGGTGGACCCTGAGCAGTACAAGAGTACATTCCTGAGGGAAGGTCCATAATGAAACAAATGTGCTCAGGCTTTAGTAATGGTCAAGAAGGCAAACACCATCTGAAGCTAAACAGGAAAAGAAAGCCCAAATGGCCCAAAGCAGCATGAGTTGTAAATCCATGATGCATCTTTATCCTGAGCACTATGTGTCAATCACCTTGTCTACCAGCACTGCACAGTGGTTGTCAAGTGTTTCTGCCAACACATATTTTGGGATAATGCTCATCTACATTAAATTTTGTGTCTTCTGTAAACTCAAAAACTCCAGAAGAAACGAGGGAAAGGAGGAGTGAAATTCTCGTTACTTCCCCTGAGATCTGAGCTGGCAGGAGCAGGGCTGTGAGCAATGTGCCACAGCAAGGGGTGTCATCTCCCCCAGCTGAAGGGTTACAGAACAGCAGGACGGTGAGGATGCCAAGAGGTGTTAAGGAATAGTGAATAAAATCAAATTGTGAATCCCCAGAGCTGGGTGTTGCTCCCATGGGTTCTCAGGATTTTTAAAAATTAAATTGCTGAGCTACAAAGCTGTGGGTTATGTACATAGCCAGAGGCACCTGGCACCTTTGCCATCAGGCASTGGAAGGCAGCACAACTTCAGGAAGGGTTGCAGGAATGATCTGGGGAACTAAAGGTGCTGGACAAATGGGTGACAAACTATGAGAGGGGCTGGAATCAAGCCCTGGGATGAATGTGACAGGATGGAGAAGGGTTGTCCAGAGCTTTTGAGGGAGAAATTAAAATCTTACAACTCTGGGTTCAGTGAGGTCTTGGGGTGTGTAGCTGTGCATGCTTCAATGGCCAAAAACTTTTGTCAGGATCCTGTACAGAGGTTTTTAAACCTCAGAGTSCTCACAGTGTGAGGTGGGAGATCTTGAGGTTTAATGACTAATTGCAAATTAGGAATAATTRATCTTAGTGGAGAACCAACTTTGATGAAATTAGTGATTATGTAACCCAGCAAATGTCYAAATTTAGAGCATGAGTGATGATGAAATTATGCAAAGTAGTCAATAACAGGAGGAAACCCAAATAGGATAATGAGCATGGTACACTGAGTGTGGCTGGCAGGGTGTGCCAGGTCCCTGGGCTGTCCACWCCCTCCGGCTGCAGAGCAGGATCACCAGAACACACCCACAGCAGCCCTTTGTTSGTGGGAGTTGAATCAGCACTGCTGATCCCTGCTCCCCTGTGGGAACAACGTGTCCTGCGTTTCTGGACAGGAGCTGGAACACGGCCCCTGCCCACAGAGAGCTTTGGCCAGGCTGATGGGCACTGAGTCCATCCCCTGCTGCTCAGGCCGGTTCTAAAGCACAGCACAGGATCCCAGCCAAGWGCTCGCAGGTGGGAACTGTCCCTTACACAAAACCCGATGTTTGTGCCCAGATCTAGCTTGGCCCAGGGGCTGATCTTGGCAAAACAGACGATAATTAATGGGGCTGTACCGGAGGGAAGCTGCCCACCCCTCCATACCTTTGGGAACACCTCATCCCCTGGAAACCCAAATACGTAACACCCGTGCCAGGAGCCAGTACAGGGCATGTAGAAAAGGACCTGAGGAATTTTATTTCTGTGGTTCTTGGAGCAGCAGCTGAGGCTGAGTTTTGGCAGCCCAAGGCAGCAGCTTGCCCTGCTGCAGCCACCCCGGGCACACTGCTCTGCCTGCCTGGACACTGCACTGCTTGCACAGCTCGTTCCTCAGGCCGGCCAAAAGCCTTTGGGGCAAAGGGGAGGAAAACATAAACAAACCCAGACATTGCTCACCGTTGTAAWTTTTTTTTTAATTTTTTTTTTTTTTTAATGATGGCTGTTGGAAGTTGCTCAAAGGTTTGGGCTGTCGCAGTCCCGGCGAGATGGCAGCGTACAGATGAGACCGAGGTGCCGTATGGCCGTGGTGTCCGGGGTGTGTGTCCCACTGCACCTCTGGCACACGGAGCAACGCCGAGTGGCGTGGGGGCGTCTGATCAGCAGCTCTGATTCCGTTTGTTTGGTCCTTCGCACTCCTTCACCCATCATGAGACGTTAGCACGTTTTTGTCACTACGGTTCAAAGGTTCGAGGCTACGAGCTTCTCACTTACTTTGTAATATGTTGGTAAATAGTTTATGTTTAAACACAATAAACAGCTTGGCTATGGAAATCAGTTATGGAGGACAAAATACACTTTGAAACCACGTGTTAATGCAGTCCTAGTGGGCTTCACCAGACGAATCTATGTGTCTATCCTGCTTCACCAGAGCAATATTTGAGCACTAATTAGCAATCCGGAATGCTAACGATCTCTCTACTGCTTCGTTCCTCATTCTAATTAGGAATAGTTTTAGCGTGTTTGTAGTCCTTGGATTGTTTTTTTTTTCAGAGCTGACATTATAAAGCGGTACTTTTTTATACTAAGTGGACATTCTGTGCATTGCACTTCCATTGCACTGAATAAAATTCAGTTATAGGCAGAGGGCTTAGGTTAATCACCTGTTCCCCATGGTGAGCGGGCAAAGCAATTCCTATGCTGACATGGATGGCACTTCTGTACAGTGCTGRGCTTCACTGCTGCACTGCACTGCAAGAGACTCTTCCACTCTTATTCAACATCATAAAAATATCAGCATCAACATGAAAATCAAAAGTTTGTGGTTAGGGCACAACGTCCTGAACCACTCACAACTGTAAGAGGGACAAGCAGGAGCTACTGTTGTAGGAAGAGACCTGTGGAAAGTTAAGAAAGTTAACTATCTGAAAGTTAAGGTATTTTTCTTGCCTTTACCTGATTTTTATGGCTCTGTCAAACATGGTGAACTCATTCTACTGTGTGGCATGCTTCCTTTGGTCCTTGCCAAATATTTGCCTGTGAAGAAGTGAGCAAAACAAAAAAAAAGACCCCAAATTTTGAAGGCATACAATGTTTGTAACATCTACAGGGGTTGAATTTAGTTTTACAAAAAGGCCTAATTCTTACTGTACCTTGATTATTTCAGTGAAATATGACGACCTCACTCCAAACAAACATTTCCATTCTCCTGAAACCCAACATACAAATTCCACAATCTAGTTACACATGCCACGGAACAACAACTCATCTTTTCCCAGCATCTTAAGGGGCAGAGTGCAGTCTGCGTCTATACACATTCCCAGTATTTCGGTAACCATTGGTTCATGGGTTCTTGACGGCGGGARCTTGAACCAACTTACATGACATTTAAATATTTCTTTCATAAGTGGCTCCCAAAACAAAAACAATGATTGGTTTGGGTTTTTTTTTAAGACCAAATTACTTTGTCTTCAGATTGTCCCAGTCTAGGGCTTGATGTTGCCAGGTGTCTGGTTTGGTGCTTCTCGAGCTTCTGCTCCGCACTCCAGTACCTCTTKGAGTGCTCAGTGGTTCCTCGTGCACTGTGCTGAGTGGCAGCGTTGATTAGTTATGAATGTACAAAACATCTGACCAGCAGGTATTGGAAAATCGTATCCAGGCAGATCCCTGGATTTTGTAATAAACTAAGAAGATCTTTTAGAATGGTTTTCAGCATCAGAATGTCTTCTGCTTATGACACTGAAATTGTTCTTGTTCATTGATTTCATGATCTTAATTCATTTATGAGACAGCTATTAAAAAAATGGTTCTGTTCAGAGGTGGTTTAGCTACACTGGAGAATGCTGGGTTTAACAGGGAGCACTGGTGCAGGGAACTGAAGGAAGTTTCCCAGATCAGTTGAAACCTGTCTCGAAGACTCTGGTGCTGGCAGACCGAGCCGGTGGATGGCACCGCAACYGGCAGGTGACCGAGGCAGTACGAAGGAAAGAGGCTCCACACTGCAAGGCTGCCCTGCCTCTATTTTTTCCAGTTTTCCTGCTTATTTCCATCCCAGGCTGTCCAAAACTTGTAGGTCACTGAAGTAGTTCTGTTTGGTAGGCTTTCCAATGCATTTTTTCTCTTTTTTTTTGTGTGTGTCCATAGTCCTCATCGGCTCAATGAGTTGGAAYGTGCAGCAGGCTGTGTCATACCCATTCCTGGACAGGTCTTTTGTAGTACACAACATTTTGCTGCACCTCTTTGTTTTTAAACTGGAAGATTGTGTATACCAGGACAAGGATGCACAGAGACAGAATGCAGGGGATCACCACCGCGATGGCRTTGACGGTGCTGGGCACGTCGTTTATGGTCACCATGATGTCCACGTCGTCGTGCGGGAGGCGCCGGTCCTTGCTCCGCTCAACATCCTTCTGGTTACAGCCCATCCAGTCCTTGAGGATCGACCTGGGGTAGCCTGGCTCCACGCTCAGCCTCTGGTTATCGAACTTCCAGTACTCCTTCCCTTTGTAAAAGTAGGTGTAAACTAGGAAACACAACAGAGAGTATTTCTCATTATTKCCGGTTGATGAACTGTGATTGTGGRAGGACATTCAGGGAGCCTGGACAACTGAAGCTGGCCACTACCTGGGTCAATGAAACACATTTATCCAGGACATTCCCAAGCCATTGGAAAGTGAAGGTGGTTTTGGAGCTGGGATTTAATGGAGAAGCCATAACCCTGGCTTGTGTGTTCAACATTGCCCATGGAACACCATTCCCCCTGGCCAAGACAAGCTGAAAATTAAAAAAGAAAACCCCACTAACTTTAAAGGAAGGGTTGTGCAGTGAGTTATTTTTTACTAAAGTGTCTGTAAATATGTGCTCRTCATTACCAAGTGATTAACATCATCTGCAGGGTGCCAGCATGCCTGGGTGTGACAGGGTTTGGAAGAACACCAGATTTCAGATCATTCAGTGTGAAGGAGCAAATGCCAAGTAAAATGTGGTCCTTTTGGCTACAGAATCCTGAAGATTTGGCCTGTGGATTTGGAGCAGTGTTGTCCTGCTGCTAATAAAAGGGTGATGCTTTATGCTACATGTTGTCTGAAATATCTCCCTCTCCCCAGATGACTCATTTTATAATAACTCTCAAGTTATTGGAAAACAAAAAGAAAGGGAACAGAAGGGAGCTGTGGTGAAAGTGTTGAGTCTCCTGCACTGTTCCCCAGCTTGGCTGTCTCTCACTGCCATCCTCCAGCCTGGCCCAGCCCTGCAGCAGCCCCCTCACACCACAGCTCCAGATTTGAACACAGCCTCAGTGGCACAAGCCCCTTCTGTAAGCACTTTCCCTAAATSGATGTCTTAGGTCACACAGAAGGTATAACCAAAACTCTGTATTCTGTCCCCATCTCCAGGAGCTGTTAAAGCAGCTGGGGCAGAGCTCTTTATCTCCAGCATGAGGCAGCCCTGATAACACCCTCCGGGGGCCATCTCTGCTCATGGGCCATCCAGGGCTCTGGGAATGAGCCATGGAATTCCATCATCCCATTGGGAGATGCCCCGGCCAGACAGGAGGAACTGCACATCCCTACTGGCACAGAAACTGAGGCTCTGGGACACTGGGACACTTGTGCCACTGCATTCCCAGNTGCACATCCCTACTGGCACAGAAACTGAGGCTCTGGGACACTGGGACACTTGTGCCACTGCATTCCCAGAGGAGAGGAGCTCCAGAAGCAGCCCTGGAGCTGCAGAGACGGACTGGAGCTGTGTGCAGGATCAGCGCTTGGACGAGAGCACATCCATCACTGCAACGGGGCTGCAGCACCACCCTGCCCTACAGGGGCTCAGCTTGGATTCCGATTTTGTCAGTTTAAGCTGTTGGTTGTGTATTATTGTTTTTATTTTATTTTTTTCCTATTAAATTGTAGTTCTGACTTAGAATCTCGCAACATATTTGTCAGGGGGTAATTCCCTCCCTGGTTTGCTTCCAAACTAGCACACTGGAAGAAGAGGAAATCCTCAAATCAGAGACAAATTGTGTTGAAAGGAGCCTCTGGAGGTCCAAGCCTCTACTCAGAGCAAAACTTCAAGGCTAACTGCTAACATCAGACAGGCTGGAGGCTTTAATAGAGAGCCTGAGCTCACTACAGGTAAATTAGAAGGAAATATAAGTTCTAGCATCCTCAGAACTGGAGCTCAGGAAGAGTTGRGGAGGGTCTGTTGTGGCAGAAAAGGTCCCATTCCCAGCTGTTTTAGCAGCTGAGGAGGTTTTTGGGCTGGGATGAGGGTCAGGAAGGATCTCAGACTGCTGCTGCTCGCAGAGCCCAGGGCACCCCAGGGTTTTTGGGACTCAATTCGTGGATCAGGAAATCCTGAAAACACTCCACACCCAACCCCCAGCCCCCAGCAGAGACCATCTATCACTGATCCCACAGGGGTGATGACTGCAGACACGTACAGCCTTCCTTGCTGATGAAAGCACCCTGAGGAGCCTGAGGGATCCCTCTCCACACCGTGATGGGCTTTGGGTATCCGGGGTCCGTGGCTCTCTTGTCCTCATTGTACCTCCAGTAGCGGTCCCCTTTGAAGAAGTAGGTTTTGCCCACGGGCTCCCAGCGCAGCGCCGTGTCGATGCCCTCGCGGGGCAGGCAGCTGCCCAGCTCCACCAGGCTGTGAGGGTAGCCTGGCTCTGCCGTCACCTCCTTGAAAACCCAGTACTTATCTCCTAGAGGWGAGTGGGGACACAAACAAACAGATTGGCCTGGTTAGGAGGTGAATTGATAGGAATCTAAACCAGCCGCAGTGAAGCACAGCATGTTGAGAGCTTCCAGRCTTCAATGTAATTTGTGAAAAAGCTGCTCCTCCACTTCACTTTGAATCTGAAACCTCATTTCATCTGCTGCTCCTCAGCTCTTGTTTTGGGAGAGCTCTTGAACAACCCTTCCCCATTTACCTTCTCATGCCAGTCACGATTTCAAAGACTTCTCTCATCCCTGGGTACCATTCCTTGCTCAGGCTGAGGTGCTGACCAGCCCAAGCTTTTCAGACATTTCTTTTGCTTTTCCCTGAGCCTTCTCAAGTTTTATTTCAGTTTAGAGAGCTGAGGCTCTGAAGATGCAGATAAATTCAGAAGCCCAGATGCTGTGGTTTTGTAGTGGCTGTGCTTTCCAGCCACCCTTCCTGGCTCTCAACTTGCTCCCAAGTTACAGATCSTGTTCAGACACTGTCACAATACAAGGAGATAAAGTGGGCCCCAGCACAAGGTTGGTTATTTTGTCTCGTTAAAGAGACAATTGTCCAGAATTGAGCTTTGAGAGTGCCCTGCACCTGGAGAGGCCTCAATGCCTTGGCAGAAGGTGTTCCAGGAGACAGGCAGGAGAGTGACACTCCCTGGGAAACAAGAGTTGTTTYTYGTWATCACATAAAGCCAACTTCCCCYAACTGMTATTAACTCTATCCTGGGATTGTCYTGGCAAGGCCAGMCTGCACTGAACTGKGCTTTAGGGATCAGTGGCTGCTTGAAGCTTCCCTTAGAAAAGGACAAGGCTGCAGTGTACCTGTTACCACCRTCTTCACGCCTTGAGAGCAGCCTGAGGTGAGGCAGGAGGGGTTGGCTGGTGCCCAACTGTACTGTACCTTTGAAGAAAACGAATTTGCCATCAGAGCGCTCATAGGCTGCGTCGATCTTTGCAGGGAGCCCCTTCCAGAACTGCTCAATCTGCATGGGATAGCCCTCCTGCACYCGGTTGTTGCGCAGACGCCAGAACCAGCGATCCTGAGGAAACCAGAAGCCTCTTGAGACTTTTATCTTATTTTTATCTCACAGCCAGACCTSGCTGGATCCCACATCCAGCACCACTAACCCCTGCCTTGGCCCCGGAACCATTACAAACACAAGTCCTGCTTCAGGTGACAGCTCTGACCCAGCCCTACGCTGTTTCCAGTGTGGGAAATGCAGCCCAAAGAGGGAGATGTTGTTTGATGGTGCTGTGAAAAAGGGTGGAAAGAAGGAGAGGGACAAGGAGCAGGGTGAAGGGAGTCCATAGCTGCAAGCATTGTGACCTCTCCATGTCTTGTCACTGAGGTGTCACCCTTGTCCTGGTTGAAGCTCAAACTCTCAGAGCCCAGGAGAGCCAGACAGCCTGAACATTACCTGGTGATGTTCAGGGTAATGGCACCAAGGGCTAAAGGGCTTGTGAAGGGCTAAAGGCACCAAGGAGTTATGAAATATCCCTTTAACATGAGATCATTATTTAAAGTTGCAGTGGCTGCTCAGGCATGAGCACGAGCAGSACAGAACCTGAGACTTCTCCCGGATACCACCCCAAACTTGAGCTAATTTCAGTTCAGGAACCTCCTGCAGCTGATGTGGTTTGTCCATTTAATGACCTTCAATATGTCCCCTCCACACCCACTGGGCAGAGTGAAAGCTACTGGTATTTTGGGAATGGGATTATGGATGTCCATGTTCAAGGCATTCTGAGGGGTTATTGAGCAAGGCCTCTCCTTCCTCCCTGGTATAGTTCACAAGGAAGGAGGACTCAAACTCCCCATGTAGGCTGAGTGCTCCAGAAGCCCCAGTTCCACACACGTCACCTCTGAGACACTGAGGCTCATTCCCAGAGAAGCTGCTCCGCCCCTGGAAGTGTTCCAGGACAGCTTGGATGGGGCTTGACCCAGTGGAAGATGTCCCTGTCCGTGGCAGGGRGTAGAACAAGATGGTCCCTGAGGTCCCTCCCAGCCCTACCACTCCAGGATTCTATGGGTAACTGTGGTTAGGTGCTGGTGTTGCTTCCTGGCTTCACAGGCAGCTCCTCACAGGTTTGGGGGTGTCTGAATTCTTTGCTAAGGCACCCAGTTCCACATTTTGGAGCATTTTGTAAATYCCATCAGGCTCTGTTTCCAAATATTGCAGAGCCAATCTGCTWACACGTCCTTCCAGTATTGCTCAGTCATCACCCTCAGAGGAACAGAGCTATTTTCACAAACATTTCAATTCTCACAACCAAATACTTCTATTAACCTTCTCCAGCATCAAAATTAAGGGAACACTTATGGGCAGGCAGGAAGTCTTAGTACCTTGAAAACAAACATTTCTCCTCTAAAGAGAGCCACGGTGTTAAAGTTGCCATCGCAGATGTTGGGTTTGGAGCCAGGGAGAGCTGGCCTGTCACCCAGAGGAGGGCTGGCAGGGCGTGGCTGCCTCTCGTGCTTTCTTTCCGAGGTGGAGTGAATTCTGCGAACAGGAAGAGTTGGTAAAGGCCTGGTTGGCTCCAGGGGCTCAATGGGAGGACCTAGAAGTGAAAAGGAAAACATTTAGCAAAATGGACAAGGCTCATTTTTCTGTGAGCTATAAAAGGCTGGATGGACAGCACTGCCAGGGATTTACACACTCCTGAGGCTCATTCCCTGGAAATGGGGAGCAGAACAAGGTGCATCCAACGTGAAAGCTTTCCCAAAACAGATGYATGGTGAGAACTGAAGAGCCAGGATGTTTTTGTAGGTCTTCCCAAGAAGGCTGGAGCTAAAAGGAAGGAGAAGCCGCACCAGTCACATTCCCAACTTAAATGAAATTGGTAACCCTTGAATAGAAATGTTTAGTAGACCATAAAAAAAGGCAACAAAAAACCCTAAAAACAAAAGCAAAACCAGAAAAAAAAAGTTAGGGTATGAACAGCAATGCTACATTGCAAAGGGAGCTGCAGGGAGTGCTCTATCACAGCTCAATGACCAGACTGTGCTTTCAGAGCTCCCTGGTCAACATCTGTGACAAGGGACCCCATCCCACTCAAGTGACTCACTCCCGGCACAACTCTGCCTTCACACCCTTGCCCAGCTCAGCTCTGGGGTCTGACAAGGCTGCAGGAATGTACAGAGCTATAAAATACAGAGTCAGACTGCAGCAGAGGGTGTAAACTGCCTGTGCCATAGGATGTTTTCATTGACAGTGACAAAATCTGGCCCAAGTCTCACTCAGAGAGCCACAYGTTTCTTGTAACTCCTCAGAGAAGGCCATGGGTTAATATGGCAATAAACTGAAGGCCTCCAGAGAAAGAGACTTTGGTGAACTTTGGATCTGAAGATGGTTTATTTGCAGGGATCGTGGTTTCAATGTCATTCTGAGCTTGCAGGATAAACCCCCACCTGTGGGCACTGGGGGCTGCCRTCCTGGGACAGTTTTGGTGTCACTGTTTGGGGCCAAGTGCTGCAGCCTGGCTGGGATGAACTGACCCTGGAGGAGGCTCATCCTCACAGCCTGCAAGAGTGACCCGAGCTGGGCACCTGCCCAAGGCCAGGAAGGGGTTTGTGAGCAAGGACTGAGGTACCCACGAAGGCAACACATGTGTGGGGTCAGAAGAGGCCTTCTGCAGATAAACATTTTGAATTATGCAGCCTGGAATGATGGTTTCAGAGTCCCTATGGCAGCTTAACTCTTACATGTTCCATTTTCAAAGGTTTCCTAAAATGGATGAGTGCTCAGCATATCCTGGAAGGGTGAAAACCTTTCAGGTCAGTGAAAACCCYCTCAGCTAATGACAAAGAAGCCACCAGAGAAAGCCACCACGCTAAATGTTCRTAAGGATGTGAGAGGAAGAATCTCGTGTGCAGCTTTCATGGATATTATGTTCCAAAAGTACCATTTGGATGGTAAAATCCAACTTCTTGTAGTACCAGGCCACAAACCTCCATCAGCAAGTCCAGTGACAAGCMCAGTGTTTCTGGGGCAGATACAGCCCATTTTCCAATTTCAAGCACAAAAAATCTTCTGTAATGCACAGTAAACTGCTCTGATGATTAAACCATGTCACAGCTGAAGTCTGCCTTATCCACTGCCTGAGTTTGTGCAGCTTTAAATTCAGAGTTTTCTTTCTTATGTCTGGTGCCTCAACATTTAATCATTTATAGATTATAGATCTTGACGGGRATGCTTTTAAAATTCTCCCTAATTAACTAAATAAAGCAATTCCTTTGGTCTGTGGCTGCAATGGCTTTTGGTTTTAAGATCTTGAGACTTGCAACTCTTTTCTAAAGMTTTTCAAATGGACAACTGTATTTCTTCAAGGCCACTTGTCCTCGTAATGTATTATTTTGTGCTATGTGCACTTATTAGCAACTACTTTTATTTACTTTATTCCAGAGCTTTCATAAAAGACATCAAATATTGTTCACAGAAATACTTTAGGGGAGGATTCTCYGTTGATGATTACCCTTGGGAAGCTGTGTACATGAAACGGATACAAGTATTATCCTGATGCTGTGTATCTCTCATCCCCTCYATTCTTATCTGGTCAGTGCCCAGTATTTCAGCTGACCATAGAATTTCCAAACTCTGACACTGCTGCCACWAGAGACCTATGTGTTTTCCCCAGATGGGATGCAGCCAAGGTCTGCAGGCAGTGCCTGAGGCAGGAGAGCAGGGCTGGGCCAGGCAGGGTGGGCACATCCCCAGCAGCGCTGCAGAGCAGCTCAGGAGGTGCTTTTGGAGGCCCCATCCTCTGCAATTGCTGTGCTTTTAGTSACACTCAAGTTCATTCAACACATCCTTTTTGGACCAAGCTAAACTTGAAGATACATTTCTGGAGCACATCCAGGGTGCTGCAGCTGCAAACAGACACCACAGGGTAAGARCTGACCCACAAAACCACCTTCTTCCTCAAAATGTGTACAAAGTGGGTGTCTCAGTCCTCAGCACCTGATTTATTTCACACCATCCCCGTGTTCTGCTGGATCTCCACGTGTGCTGCTGCTGTTCCTGCTGACACAGCTCACACACCCCCAGAACCCTCCTGAGGTCAAGGCAGCTGGGTTCTGTGTGGGCTGGAAGGCTCCTGGAGGCAGAGGGACATGCACAGGAGGGGCTGGGAGCGGGCAGAGAGGCCCCAGATTGACCCTGCACTGGACAGTGGGGTTCTGGTTTGTTCCCGTGGGAGAGGGATGCAGTGTCCAGCTCCTGCCTGGGACAGATAAAGGAGCAGGCAAGTGACAGTTTTGGRTGACAAAAATGGTACTTGGTGCCAGTGACAGAACCCAAATCAATGAAGACTGAAAAAGCAACAATTTCCGTGCTCAGTGAAGATGGAAATGCCTGCCTCAGGGAAGAGAAGCCTTGACTGGGACCTAAGCCAGGGGACAATAATCAGTGATTCACTGTGCATTGCAGACACTCATTCCAGCCCTTTCCCTCCTGTGCTGCCTTCCCCGCAGCTCTGAGGGGATGTGGCTGATAAATAACACTGGAAAACCTCTAATCCTGCCCTGCCTGACAGCATTCACCTGCCACCAGCCTGGCCCAAGGGCCAGCTATTGCCCATTGCTGCAGAAACACAAGGCAGGGGTCATTGGTCCTGTCCCTGCCATGYACTGACCAAACCAGAGATGCATTTCTGTCGCCAGAGGTGACCACAAGCAGTAAGATGAGGACGTGACATTAATTCCTTCTCCCTCTCCTTTAACAGAAAAACAGGGTGAGACAGGAATACAACCTAAACAAAAATTGATGAATGTGTCTGATGGGTCACAAAKASCCACTGGACACTGAAAACCTGACACAGAGAATCTGACAATAAGATGCASAATAGAGACTACAGTATTTTGCTTACTATGATGGAAATTTAGCATCACATTTGACTGGAGTTACTGATTCACTGTCTCTGCACAAGTGAGGATCACTCGTGTGCCCAGTCACAGTCACCCTCCCCTCTGCAGTCCTGTGCAGCTCCCCTGCTCCCCTTCAGTGCCCAAGGCCTGTCACAGTCACTTGTGGAGAAGAGGAAAGTTCAGACAGCACCCACAACCCAGGGGATCGTTGTAAAGGTTTTCATGAGCCCTAAGRTGGCACTGAAGCAGCACTCAGGGAACTGGCATGGCAGGATGGTGCCAAGCAGCAAGGATTCAGAGGAACCAGGGGTTTGCACTGAGGAAAACATTTGCTGGAACAGTGGAGACAGATCCCAAGTCAGGCCCTCCAAGGGAAGCTGGCCCTGTGCTGACTGCTGGCCATGGCCAAACCAGAGCTGGCACACTGCTCTGCAAAGGGACCTGGCCCTGGCAGGTGCTGCAGGGCGATCTGAAACCTGCTGGGATGCAGATTTTGTCATTTCACTTCTAATATTCCTCTTTACTGTCTTCCTCTGCCAGCCACAGATGTTTCCTTGCTATCTTTCACTCCTTTCTTTGTTTYTATAACCCAGGCCTTCTAATTCATTCTGATTGAAGGTTTGTCTCATGCTTACACAGATTGCCTTYTTATTTTTAATTGCTGCCTCCACTTTGGCCCCAAGTGTGGCTAAAGGTGGGAGGTGATCCTACAGCTGTGCACATGTGAAGAAAATACAGAAAACCTGGAAATGCCCAGGTCCAAGTGCTCCTTAGGCAGGATTTGGTGCAGCTATGGGGATGGGAAGGAGAAGCACAGCCTGCTCACTGGTGGAGGAAGATGCCAAGGCAGTGCAGAGCCCCACCTGGCCCCAAAGCAGAATGAGCAGACCCCATCCATTAGGGATGCTCTCCAGTCATTCCTACTCCAGACTCTCATCACAGTAAGTGCCTCCAGAACAGCCAAGGCAGGATGGAGCAGGTTTCCCAGCAGCAGAGATTAGTGTGAACAAAGAGGCACTTTGGAGGTGTTGGCTCTGTGGTTTTTAACACTGATCACACCCTCAGTGCTGTAACAGSGGAGCAGCACACACAAACCACGTCCTCTGTCACCACCAAGCAACTTCAGGGAATCAGACAGGAAAAAAAMCATCTAATTAGGAAAAAACTGACTGAGAGAGGTTATTGTATGGGGCTGCAAAYGGGCCTGAACCCATTATTCACCTCTTTATCATTGGGATCCCAGCACCAGAGCCAAGCCCACCCCTGGGACTGACCCTGCAGCCACTTCCACAYGGGAAGCAGGTAAGAAATCTCCTGGAGATGGGAAATCTACATTCTGGAAGGAAGCAGCTTGCTGGGACTTTACAGACACTGTGTGAAGAAGAAGAGTTTCTCCCTCTCTATCAGAACCAAGGCAAAGAATATGAGAATATCTGGGTCACAGCAGATCACCTTCAGAGTGTGATTCCACCTCTGGCACTTAGCCTCCTCCCTTCACGCTTCCTCTGCCGCAGACCATCTCAATACCAAGGTGACCTGTGAAGATAACACAGAGAGAGGAGGCRTTTAGGAGCCACTGTGTCGATAGTTGAGGACAAAATAGAATTGTGCTGTCCTCCTGGCTATTGACAGAGTGTTCCCTCAGCTGAACAGCACCTGCCTGGAGGCTCAGCTCCTTCCTGGCTCTGTGTTGCCC